TGGATAACCCTGACCAACGCCACTTGTGGTCGGAAAAGCTATCCGACACTTCACCGTAGACTTTGACGCGGCCTTTAGTGTTCGAGTATAGGTTACGAAGGATCTTCACATATTTCGTGGGAACACCTTTCCGTGCAAGAATTTCGAACAGAATTGATCGATCGACTGAATCGAACGCACTCTTGAAATCGAGGGACACAGCCATTGTCGGTCTGTTGTATGCGTAGCGCTGCTCTAGCACTTGCCGCAGAGTGAATATATGGTCTATACAGCCACGTCTTGGGCGGAAACCGGCCTGCTCTTCCCTAATCCGAGATTCCCGTTACACAGTTAGGCGGCGAACGAGAATCGTGGTCAGTAATTTTATCACAAATGGCGTTAGGCTAATACCCCTGTGGTTAGAACAGTCTGTAGGACTGCCCTTCTTGTACATTGCCACTATAATCGAATCGCTCCAGTTAGCCTGGACACTTCTTTCGGATACGTTCGAATAAGGAAGTCAGTGCTTTGCAGAGGACCTCACCTCCATCCTTAAATAGGGCAGGTGGGAGAGAATCCGGGCGCGCAGCACCAAAACGATTGTGGGCTGTGATTGCGTTTCGGATCTCGGCCTCCGATAGAACCTCTAAACTAACCATCCATAGCTCCTCCTGCATCACGTAAGTAGGAAGAGGTCCGGGAGCAGAGGGACCGCTGAGCTGCTCTTGAAGGTATTCCGCCCAACGAGCCATACTGTGCTTCTTACTGTGTATCAGTGCACCTGCGCTGTCTCTACTTGTCTCACTGACGCCTGGTTTCCTGGGACCACTGGTGCGGATCAGCTCCAAGAGCTTGCGGTAATTGCCTACTGCTCCCGTCTCCTGCATTTCTGGAGCCCTACTGATCCACCAGGCTTCGTTGTCAACACGTAGGCTCCGCTTTAGTTCGCGCCTAATAGTCCGTCTGCTCACATTGTGCTCAGAGCCAACCGAGTGGTTTATTCTGGATTCCAACATGTTCACCGACCTCGGGTATCCAGTGGCTGGTGCGGTGACGATTGATAGTGCCACAAGCAGATGTTCCTGCGTCGTGCATGGCGACTGAGATCCTATTCCACTGAAGCTCAGTGTCATTAGAACAAGACAGCGTAGGTTCGGTATACAGTGCGTCTTGATATGCTTGCCTGACCGAGGGCTGAAACAATTTCTCAGCTGCCATTCGAAGGAGACGCTTGGTGCGCCCCCTGGTTGAATTCATGGAGAAACGACAGCGTACCAAGGCATGATCAGAGTCGACGCAGGTACTTCAGTACGAGTGGCATTCCAGGATGGAACCCCGCCACCTGTAACTTATGGCAATGTGGACAATTTGGGTCCATCGCTGGCCAGCTACAGGAGGACGCCAAGTGACACTTCGGCGCGCACTGTGTCTGAAAGCAATGCTACTAAGAAATAACTGGTGCTCCGCACACAGTTGCAACTGACGCTCACCGTTGTCAGTCCGTTCAGTGTTAAGCCCACAATTCCCACCTAGCTGAGCTTCTGAAGAGCTCAGACGCTCTACTTGTGCGTTCATATCCCACGCAAGTACTGTGATCTCTGGACTAGTAACACTGAATAGTAGTGCGTTCAGTTCGTGATAGAATGTGTCTTTGACAGCATTAAAACTGCAGTCGGTGGGAGCCTAAGCTTAAATCATAAACGAACAATGTTTTGTACTACTTCGTGTATCCACCTTAGATGATGTCGTCAAACGGGCTGCACATACACGGCTGCTTACGGGTATGCAATCAACCAATGATGGCTTAGCCTGGGAGCTTAGAATGATACCTACACCAGCTTGACCCGTGAGTGCTGCATTGGCGTCTCCGGATGCGTGCAACTAATAACGAGAGGATAAGCCGGGTGCAGTTAATTTAATAACCCCGTTAGGGTCATTGATCCTAGTTTCGGACGCACAACACACGTCAATACCCAGTGTGTGCGTGTGAGTGCAGTCTGTTGACCTATTTGTCTTAGAGCGCGAACGTTGAACGCCGCCAAGGAAATGGGCAGCGTCGCCTTATAAGGGACTTTTGCCGATAGGCGTCCGATAGATGCTGTGCGTTGGTAGCTGCAGATGCTTCTACTCCAGTGGCACCTCAGTCGCTTTCAATTAAGCTAGAAATTATAGAAGGAAGGTTAGTAATGGGGGTCGGGATGGAAGTAAGATAAAAACGTGGAAAAGAAGGGAGGCGCCAGCAGTAGCATGTTTTCGCTGGCCCGCCCTGCTGTATGCAGCAGATAAGGCGACCCTTGATAATCTGCGCGACGGCCGATGCAGGATGAAGTTTATGATTGAGGAAAATGTTATGGTTGTATGTGGGCTGAGATACTGCCAGGACACCCAGACCTAAACAAGAGGGCGATTAGTGTCCTCATCCAAAGTCTTTGGCTTAAAAGCCTGTCCGCAAGACAGCGGGGAGGTGATAATGATTTAGGTTTACATAAATGGACGCCATATATGTATATATTGCATTCTTGATGCTTCTTCACCGCAATTGGGCCAAACCAACTTACGCCTAAACTAGGTCATTTTAAACTGGATACATTTCATTCTACTTTATTTGGTTTATTCTGCCTACCTAAAAAATCTATTAACTGCCAACGTTGCTTACGCTAATTGCACTTATCTTTGGTAACTTTGTTGCGTTTGTAGCATTTTTAAGTAACTTGTGGACATTTTTTATTTATCGCGGATTCCTTGCTAACCAACTTACTTCATATGCTAATTTAGCGAAGAGTTATACCACAGTATCTGTATGCATTATTGGATTTATTTTATTTCATCTTGTCGTTTCAAGTGATTGGCTGTTGCTTGATATCCCCAGTGTGGCTGCGCTTAATGTGCATGTTGACAAGGTGCCTACCTGCTTATTACCCACTGACTTGTCCATACTGGCTCTAGGATACAGTTGCTCGTTGCTGGAGGGGACGGGGTGCTCCGTCCTTGTGCCCGTGCTAGGCTCGAAGAGCGGTTCCATGCGCTCAGTGCGGAGCGGACTACGGTCCAGCCACCGTATTGTGTTCGTTTGATTCCCCAAATACAGTGTGCTTGTTTTTGCCTGTGAAGGAGTGTGGGCCGGCTCCGTTGGTGAAACGTGGCTCCCATCCACATGCCTCCCGGTCTTATTCCTTCGGGTTTACACTGGATATGTGGTGTGTGGATGGTGCAGTGCAAGCAACCCATGGTCCCTGTGTAGGCTCATTCGTCCTGTGGCTGGCCACAATGACAGGCAAACCCGAAACTGTATGTCCCCAACCGCAAGCGTGAGGCGCTTTTGCTAACCTTCGCTACCTATGGTGCCGACTCAACATCGCTCTCTCCCTGAAGGGTAGAGTGTACAATGCAGCCGTACGTTTGACCCTACTGAACACTTGTGAAACCTAGCCCTTTAGATCAGTGGCTATAAAGAGCCTCGTTTCGTGCGAACACCGGTGCCTTCGCAGTTTTGCTCATATCTGGTGGGAACACTATGTGAGCAATGAGCGTGTTCGACGCCTTGTTTATGGCGCAGGAAGAAAAAGCGAACCGCTCAGCACCGTTATTTCACGCACCAAGCTCTGACGGCTGGACCACGTGCTGCGCATGCCAGCCCACCGACTTCCGCGACGTGCCTTATTTGCGCGCCGGGGTTGCGGATGGAAGCAGATGAAAGGTGGTTAAGCGATGACTTAGTCAAGATGAATGAAAGCCCTTGCTTGTTATTTGGCCTCGGGTGGAGCGTCGGCTCCCTGGTTGGGGTCCGAAAGACGATGAACACGTTTGGTTGGATACACTTGTTGACATTGCTAGGAGCATACCTCACTGGCGTTTGTGTTGTGAGTTTTTTTATCCCTGCTCTCCGCTTAGCCTCCCCCTCCAACCACTAGCTCAGTTCACAGGCTATATATGACTGTGGCACAATAACCGACTGTTAGCTCTGCAGAACGATGTCCTTCCTTTACTGGTGACTCAATTGGCGTGTCTGTTTCAAATTTTTTTCGTTTTTGTGTTGCGGCACCATAGCTAGGTGTTTTCCACCTGCAGCTAGCGTGCATAATGATAGTGGTATCCCTCCTCTTGCAATTACCATCTCAATTTTTATGCATAATACAACTTTTATGCCGCACATTAGCCGTGTGGTCGCTCTTCGGTGCGATGCCCATCCGTTACTGTTGGCTCAGCTGGCGTGCCTCGCTCGCATGTTTTTTTAAATTTTCTTATGTATCGCGGCACAATAGCTTTCGTAATTCCCCATGTTTTACCAGAGAAACGAAGCATCTCTATCAGCTTGGTGCGAAACATCACCTCACAATTTGCTTACGATGTCCCTTTTTCACTGTGGAGTTCGCTTTCTACTATTGGATCAGATAAATTTGATGATCCTTCTGCCTAATGCCAGTTTTTCGCCTTTATCCTCAGTGTGCCTAATCTGAGTTACGGTTGCATTGTTTCTTTACGTCTTCGGCATTGACACACATGTAATGCTGTGATCTTGCTCTGAGAACAGAGAAATACACAATTTGACTTTGGTGCCATACTTATCTGCGCGTCATAACAAAACATGCTACTGATCTTTTTCCTAGTTATCAGTTCCTTTTCTAAATGTCGTGCTTTTTGCTCCTCTTCTTTGATTCTTAACTCCTTGGTTTTGAATGGCTTGATGTCTGTTCCTATATCAAATATGTCTGCGTACTGTTACCAGCCCCATCGTGTTTGAACCAGTTGACCACTTCCTGTGTTACTCACTCGGGTGATTTGCATCAACGTGGGTTTTGCGCCGTTTTATTTTTACACTTTTCGGTCAGTTCGCCACAATTCTTTGCGATGAGTCTGACAATGATTTTTTAGCTGTCATCCACTGTGCTTCCGTCTGCATTCTTGCTTTTTTTCTTTCTGCTCTTGTTTGAGAAATATTTTCTTTTTTTGTTTCATAGTTTTATCAACCGTTTTGATAATTCGTCGGGTTTTACTCCTTGTCTCACTCGTTTTCCATTACAGTCATTGAAATCGAAGGATCCTCAAATGCCTATGCTCACTCGAATCTTTAACTGCTTAGCCAGTTGGTGGGATAATACTGGCGTTATGACTGAAGGCGATGTACCCATTTCCCCTCTACTGGAGACAGTCTTTTGCGTGCTTCGCAATCCTGAATCGACTCCCGAACCAACATACGACGCTGCAACTCAGTGGGTCTTAGCTCTCCTCTACCAGTGCAGAGTAAGTGCTTTTATTGATCATCAACTTGGCTTGCACAATCTCTCTACGCTCATGTTTCCTTTCTGTGAGCGTAATGTATACGCCGCAGTTCGACTAGATTCTCCCCGATTGATATGGTGTGGTTGTAGTAACGTTTTAAAATTCAACAGACCACCACTTCACTTTCTTGCTATTATTCTGCCCTGCCTCTGTCAGCGTCGCTACCTTTTTTCTAGTGAACAGCCCTATGTGCTACTTCTGATCTCGACACTTTCCACTATTCAGTGGTCTTTCAAATTGCACTTTTTTGATAGAAAGCACTTCAAATCAAACTTGTCTTTATCAACCCAAATAGATTATTTTACAGGCATTTTACGATCAGTCATGTTGCAAAGTATTGTGCGCCTCCATTGTACTCTAAAGGTCACCGGTTCGAATCTATCTAGGTGCGGGCGACCTCACAGTATACCCAACCCTCGTGCGACTGTTGGTGCTTGCGCTGCAGCAAAGCATCGGTACGGTATACCGGCGTACTTTGCTATCATACCCCAGTTTGTTCCACAAAAAATACGACATATATAGCTAGGTGGTTTCGCCACAGAAAATTTGCATACACATCACAAGGTGTCCATTAATAAACAAAAATCTGTTCCTTGTACCTCAACAATTGGAAATATGCTCCGTTGCTCACGTTACGAGTTCCAGCTCTCGGTGAAGATGACAGCGGAAGACGCGAGTGTACTGTATGCTCCAAATTCCCAACTAAACGGTGTAAGGTTGGATCATCATCACCATACTCATTCTAGCTATGGCTGAGTAAACACCCCAACCATTGTGTTGCGATGCAATACGATTAGCTAACAATAAAACCTGACAGAAGATGAGCAAATAAGAACAAAAGCAGAAAAATCTTGTCTTGCTTTGTATTCTGCATTGACCATGAGTCCACGGTTGGAGGAAGTAACTAAACAAGTTGCGGCGGGATAAAAAAAACCTACAGCACAGACACCATTGAGATCAGTTCTTCGTCATGTAAACAACTCTCTATAAGCAGACGTGTTCATTGTCTCTCAGGCCCTAACACATGGGCCGAGAGGCTGCCAACTCAAGTGAGTGCCTTTATTTTTCGGGACCGAATCATCGGTTGGCCTCTCCTCTTTTCACCTACTGCTCCTGCATCGCAAACAACGCACGTCGCGAGGGTTGATGTGTCGGCATGCGCCCAACAATCAGAGCCTCGTGCATGCTTCGGAAATGGAGGCCGTTGTAATCTTTGGCAATACTCGAAGACTCCTCCGGCTACTTAGATCCACTGACCTCAGAAAGCCTGGTATCAGTGGGACTATTTGCAAAGGTGCTGGTTCGCTAGTTGCCAACCCATCGACATGCTTGGATAGATGGGCCGAACATTTCCATTCCCAGTTCAGTTGGCCCTCTCTGTTCGCTTTTATTCCCTGCGAACCCAACTGCCCGCCCTGTGTCGTCCCAGTTCATCCACCCAACAAATCGGCACTTTGCGATTCGACACCTGAGGCATTTCAAGGTTGCCAGTTCACACGGACTTCCTCTGGAGCTGTCCAACTATGGAGGCGTACTTATCATCAACCAGCTAACCTCATTGTTCTCTGAAATCTGAATTAAGGAAAAGGTGCCTTTTTCTTGGAACGAATCAGTTGTCCCGATTTTTATGAAGAATGTTTGCACTCCATGCACGAATCAGCGGAGGTTACTCTCATTTCGGTTGCCTCTAAGCCATTGGCATCTATTCTACTCCGTAAACTATCCCTCATTCATGAATCGCAGTACAGGGAAGAACGAGCTGGCTTTCATCCTGACTGCGGGTGTGTGGCTCCAATATTTACACCGCCAAATTCTCGAACACCTTCAGCTTTACCAGGGACCTACCATCTTTTGCTTCCTAGACACCCGTGCTGCATTCGGTTCAGTTGATCGAACTGCGTTATGACGTTGCTTGCTAAAGAACAGGGTTCCTGTAAAGTACTCTGCCATTCTACGTGCACTCTACCTCCACATCTCTGGCAGAGTGAGGGTCTAATTCAAGCTTTCGACATCATTTGCTGTCAATAGGGGTGTACATTAGGGCTGCCCTATATCCCGTTTTCTCTTCACTTTTGCGATTGAAGACGTCCTGTTGAGAGCTCTGGAGGGTTATCAAGACTTTGGTCTATAAGTACTATCGGATAAACGAGCGAACGACTCAGCTAACGCCGATGACATCGCCTTACTTGGTTATGACTCACAGAGTACGCAAGCCATTCTAAAATGTTTGACGATTGTGACATCTAAGTACGGAATGTGCGTCACCTCTTTGAAGTATAAAGTGCTGCTTTAGGATTAGCACTCACCCGTTTCCTGTGCTCACTCAGGTATGTACACAGCCTGAACGAGTAGATAGTTTTGTCTACCTAGGCAGCTGTGTGTCTGCTGGTGGTACTATGGAGAATGAAGTTTTTTCTCCGTATGGCCAAAGCTTGGTCAGCGTTCGTCAAACTGAAGTACTTTCGGTGTCGTCGGGATATCTCCCTCTTGGTAAAGTGCCGCATTTACAGTGCCACCGTTCGAGCGGTGTTACTATATGGAAGCGAGTCGTGGCCAGTTGACATGCGCCGGCTCTCGGTCTTTAGACAATGGGTACCTGAGGAGGATTGCTCATTTGTGGTGGCAACGATCTATCTGCAACAGTCCCGACTTCTGAGTTTTGATACATCAGTTAAGATGGCTAGGTCATACCCTGCGTGTGTCAGCTGAGCGCTTGCCCCATTGCGCCCTTTTCTTTCGTGTAGGGCCTGGTTGAAAGAGACCGCGTGGTGGTCAGCCGTCCACTTGGCGACAACATATGAAATCATTAACTTCACTTCTTTCTGCCGTTGAATATCCACGTCTGGCTAGTTGTTGACCAAGGGACGAGGAGTGCCGATGGATGGAAACCACTAGAAGGTCTGTGTATATACTTGTTTAGATCTAGCTGCCTAATGCTTAACAATTGGAACAAAACAAATAAATGAAGATGTTGCTTGTGAAAAATGACAACACCGTTCCATTCTTCTTGCGGCGCAGTATCTGAAGTGTGTTGCCCACCTTCAGCTTATGTGCTGTGATGATGTGGTGATTAAACCAGTGTTTTCCGTGGTCTTTGTATGACTCCATGTTTATTCGTTAGACTGTTGCTGCTACTACTACTCATGTTCTCTTCCTGCACCCTAACTAGGACGCTGAACACGCTCATTGTTCACGCGTGTTATGGCTCTGGTGGTCTGAAGTTACGGACCTTTTTACTTTTGTCGATTTGATGGACTAAGTTTCGTAACCGTACAGTTGGGTTGAACGGATGGCTGTTTGGTAGAGTGTCCTTCGGAACAAGAGTGATGTCGCGTCAGCACCTCGAGCTTTTGCTATACTGTAGGGATTTTATTTTCCGTTTCCAAGGCGCTACTACATCTGTCCAGTTCGTTAAATTTCCGAACGATTTCTAGCTGACCTCCACGTTTGAGAGCTGTCACAAATTAGAGTAATGTCGTCGGCATGCTCTAAGTCAAAAAGTCGCTCACCTGGAAAGACACTGCAGCAATGTGGAATTCAAATGGAAGGGGCAGAACCAACTATACTGCATGTTACAACACAAGGGATATCAACGAAACTGTGCCAGCCACAGAGGTATTAGCTTAACGTCGATAGTGACAAAACTACTAGCCTCAATTCTCGTTCGTCGCCTCAGTGTAGGATGACGTACCCGGCCCGTAGCCTAGAGGTAACGAGCATATCTCGTAATCTTGCAGTGCGGGTTCGAATCCGCGTAGGGGTGGGCGTCCTCGCGGTATGCTCAGCCCGCGAACTACTGTTGGTGATCGCACGACAGCGAAGCGCCGTCACGGCGTACAGCTGACACATTATTATTATTATTATTATTATTATTATTATACCCGGATTAAGGAAGAACAGGATGATTTCTGCCCAGGGCGGGACTTTATAGCTCACATACTCATTCTCCCGCTAGTGCTAGATCAGCGCCACGCGTAACGCGGGCGGTCAATAGCCGTGCTCCTGGAATTCATGAGTGCGTTCGATTCAGTCGATCGATCCATTCTGTTCGAGATATTTGTGCGGAAAGTTTTTCCCATGAGGTATCTGAATACTTTACGTGCCTGTACTCGAACACCACAGGTCGCATCAGAGTCTACACTGGCTTATCAGTTATCTTTCCGCCAACAAGTGGCGTACGTCAGGATTGTCCAATTTCCCCTTATTGTTCAGGTTCGCCGTAGACTCCATCATAGAGTGTTCCCTTGCGGAATCTCACCATGCAGACGTTGAAGGGCTACCTGGTCAAAAACTAGTTGATCTTGATTATGTAGACGATATTATCTCGCTGTTGACCGATGTTTGGGTGGCACAATCAATCCTGAATAATCTCTAGGGTTATCCCATAATTTTGCATGAGCTTCCCACCTTCAAAATTCAGCGTATTGTTGCAGGACCACCAGTCAGTTGAGAACTCATTGACTTTTGATAACGAAGAACTCGAGGTAATTGGTCACTTCACTTACGTTGGCAGCTGCGTCAACAGCGATGTATGCATAACCAATAAAGTCAGTTCACGCATTGCACAGGCTAAAACTGTCTTCTTGAATCTGTGGCCTCAGAAAAGGGTTTCCCTCTAGTTGTAATGTCATATTTACAAGTCCACAGTGAGGGCCGTCCTGTTGTACGTAGTATGACTTCGTCCTTTCCATCTGAGGCATTTCTGATGTCGGATGGCTCCAGCGTGCCCGCAACACGAGGATGTGCTTAGGAGAATTTTAGCCGTTGATTATCAGGCCAGTTCCTTAGAACAACAAATAGCACTGAATAACTTGCGTTGGCTCGGACACGTACTACGCATTTCCAGTCACTGCTTACCGAGAAGGACCTTGTTTTATTTGCCAGATGTAGGGTTGCGCAAGGCTCCAGATGGACAAAATGTAACTTGGCCGAGAGGAATGAAGTCAATGACTACAAACCTG